AAAAAAAAACTAGAACACTAATGTTAAAAGAAATATTACTACATTTGCCATTAACGTGTAAGTTTGATATTATTGCTGCAACTGAATTCAAGTATAAAACTTCCAGTATTTTTTATTTAAAATGACTGGAAGTATGAATTTTATTTTTCAATTTTTTTTGTAAATATTGTTTTTTATGTATATACTTCAGAACTTCGTTTTCGACAGTTAAGCTTAAAAACGCAGTTTATTTTATTTTTTTATAAGGGAGAGCCAGATAAATAATAAGTGTATTTTCAAGATTAATATTCATATTTTATCTGAAAATAGTTATTCTAATCATCAACTCGAGAAAGAAAAACATATCTGAAAAATTTCAGTTGTTTCCCCAGGTCTTTCAAAGGTATGTGTAAAATTTTAAATATATTTTTAGTGAACTAAGAAATATTGAGATGAAGGAAAAAAACCTAGTTTGAATTTTTTTTTAAATTTTTCAATTCAAACTGTAGCCTTTTTTCCTTGGAAAATTGTAGTTATACATTTGATAATTATAATTGTGATTAGTGATAAAAGTAAACTTATATATAATTATTCATTTTAACTATGCAAAGAAGGGTAAGATATTTGCCCTTTTTATAAAATACAATGTCCTTTTTTAAACTTGCTGCCCTTTTTTTTAAAAGTATAGTGCCCTTTTCAATTTTTAGCACCCTGCCCTTTTTTTAGTCTAGAATGAACCCTGGTATAATTGTATTTTTGAAGAAAAAAAAACTAAGCTAACTCACACTTTTCGATGATTTGAAGACAAAGAATAATAGAATAAAATAATTTCTATATTTCACTTACTTTAAACAATAAAAAATGGGGCCATTTAGTGTTAGTTAGGAACTAATAAGTAGCTGTTTATTTTTTATTGTTGAATGAATGAATCCTAATTATTTTGTGTCAATAATTTGGAATTATAATTTTGAAATACAGGAAGAAAAAAAGAAATTCAGGATTACTTAGCTCTAATTTAAAATTTTCCAAATCAAACACTATAATACTTACAGCTAGAGTTTTTCCAGAACCAGTCTGGGCAATTCCAACTAAGTCCCGACCACTAAGAGCTATTGGCCAAGATTGAGCTTGAATAGCAGTAGGTTGCTTGTATTGCTGAAGACGCACAGCTTCCATTACATACTCTAAATTGATATACAAAATTCATACTAATTTTTAAAATACGATTAAAAAAATAAATAAGGTAAAAATTTTTATGAAATAACAAAGCGTTCAGAAATATTGTATACTATTTTAATTCAGAGACAATTATGCAAGTTAAAAATCACATTTGGATAATTCTCTGCAAATAAAAATGATGTAAATAAAAGATAGTTCAGTTTTTCTTTGGAAAAATAAATATATTATTAGTTTAATATATAGCATAAAGATGTATTTATAAGTCAGGAGCCTTTTTTGAAATAAATATCTTTCATTAAATTTCAAACCTATGTTCTCATTCACTCCCTTACAACTAGCAAGTACAAAAAAACAATTTTTCAACAAAGTACTTTATACTTTCTTGTTCAACTTTTAAAATAAACACTTTAGTTGTTTTTCTATGTAATAATTATAAATTATAATACTATTGATTTACATGTAGCTTTTAAAATCAAATATTTTTAATACTGTAGACAAGAACTGTATCTCAAAATGAAAACACGCATTTAGTAACCCCTTTTTGAAGAATCCAAGACTTTGCCGTTGACCTTTTACCCCCCAGTAGTTATTACTACGGGTTTCACGATTTTTTTTTTAATGGTATGATGATTTACAAAAGAGGAAAAAAACACTAATTAGTGTCTTTTCCCCCTACATAACGCTGGAATATCGACATAATATAAGAATAAAAAAATATTACACATTCAATTAAAAAAGTTTTTTTTTTTAATTGAAGTTGATGCTTCTGTTACTTTAAGTTAGTAACATGTATATTTGTTATTTTTAAAAGCATCTAGCAGAAAGATATTAGTATTAGAGAGGTATCAGTGTTTTCATTACAAAAAAAAAATGGGAGAGAATTTCTCACCCTTTCTCAAAAACAGGGTGAGATTTCAAAAAGTTAAGAGAGATTTCTAAAAATTAAAAAAACATGAATAGACTTGGAAAATAATATTTCTTTAATTATATAATACATTTTTAACACCTTCTAATTTCTTAACCATTGAATATTTTTGGTGCATCATCATATGGAAAATGTTCTTTATCAACTTTTTCACCAGCTATTCTCATTAGGTTGGTCAAATACTCATCAGGCAATCAATTGCAATATTTTGTTTTAATTCGGTTTGGGGTGCTAAATGACATTTCAACAGATGCTGAACTATTCGGAATCACTAATTAAATCTGTAGCATTGTGCGCACACTTTCCTATCCTCTACATCTGCCAGCATAGGCTTTTCAATTATCTTTGTTAATGAATAGTTAAGTTCGTTGAAGTTGTTTTCATGCTCATACTTCTTGTTAGGTCTTCCAGCATAGTTTTTACAGACTTCAACTTTTAGAAATTGCTGCAAATTGTCGATGAGGGAGTTTAGTAATTCCTTAACAGCTAAAAATAGAGCAAACTTTAAACAACTTAAAATAAAGGACTCATTTTTTTTCTCAACACTTGCTCTCATGTCTTTTTCAAAATGGCGGAAAACGAAATTTTTTCCAAAATTTGAGAAATTCGTGCATTTTAAAATTAATTAATAGAGTGCGCAAACTTCTCGCATTAATAATTTTTTAATGCGAGAAAAGAAAAAAATATGCGAGATTCTTGGGCTGTAGTGAAAACACTGGGTATGTCGCAGAAAGCCCGAAAAAATTCTGCCGCAGAGTATGGGAATTTGAAAAACCCATAGGGAAGCACTGAAAAAACACTTGAGGGTACAAAAAAAATTGGAATAAAAAATTTTCCTAATCAATTAAGTTAAATTTTATGCAAAAAAATTGAGCTAAGCTGTATTTTTTATATGTGAATATTAAATTGATTTTGCATTATTTATACAAATTTTGCATTATAATACAATTTTCTCTAGTCATGTAATAAGGTAAAAAAAGAATATATATAGATATATTTATATATATATAGTTAAAACGTTAATAAATCAAAAGTTATATTGAACAAATAAAACATTACCTTTCCTTTCATTTACCTCTATTCCTTAATTTGATAGTCTTATACCAATCAATTGACAAAAATTAAAAAGAAAAAAATTTAAATTAAACAAATAAAAGAACATTACCTGGGAAAGAACCTTCCTCAAAATTTGCCACAGGCTTTGGAACATTAGGGCCTCGAATTGTGATTTCATAATGTTGACGGAAATTTTCTGCTTCTTGCTACAAATTTAAGTTTGGTATTTAAAAGCTATGAATCTTTAAGAATTCATGATATGCTAAATTGATAAGAAAAAAACTTACATGAGACCTTCTTTGCACATTAGGATGTTCATTATAAAAATCTTTTTCAAAAGGTAACAACTTTGAAGTATCCCAACGTGGCCTTCGCAGCCTGTCTCCTGGCGTTTTCCCTTTAGCTATGCCACCTCGCCCACCTGCAAAACCACCTCTACCTGCACCACCACGCCTTCCACCAAAACCTCCTCTATCACCACCACTAAATATAGAAACAACTTTTGTTAAAAATTTTGCATATTTATATACATAGAACATATTTTGTGACTCAAAAGTAAAGCGGTTTTTACTTATGATATCAGAATTTGCTTGATGGTTAAACGGAAGAAGCAGAACCAAAACTTGGCATAGGGTGAAGAGTTGTTTCAGAGCTCATTCTAGGCAGGGTAAACAGGGCGCAGCACCCTGTTGCCCTTTTAGTCAAAAGAATCCACCCTGTTGCCCCTGAAGTAAATTAGTGCCTTGATGTTATAGACTCCATACCTTTTCTTTCCTCAACCGTTCTTTATTCCCCCCCCCCAAAAAAAAACTCTACAATGGATTTCTTAAACTTTTGTTATTTTCAACTCTTTTCATTTAGTTTGTCATTGCTGTCAATAGATAGATTTATATGGGAAAGGAAAAATAGCCATCACACCCCCTTGTTGCACTTGTCTTTGAAAGTTTGCAGTTACTTCCACTATCATTAATAATCATTTTAATTATTAAATCATAACTACAGACACGTAAAAACATACATTTATTATTTTATTAATATATGCATGCATTTAAAATAAATTACTAAGCTAATTAGCTCATTAACTTGATACATATGTTAATTTATTAATAAAAATTAGTAATTAATATGATTGCTTTGCTACTTTTAGTAAAGTAAAAAAAAGAATTCTTTTACTAATTGAAAATGTTTTTTAATAGAACGTTTAAAGCCCATCGAAAGAAATTATTGCCTTTTTAGAATAATAATGCCCTTTTTTTAAACTTTTGCACCCTGCCCTTTTTTCTGCCTAGAATGAGCTCTGGTTGTTTACAAAGGTATTTTAATTTTATTTGGCAAAATTTTGTGAACTTTTTCATATAATGCAGGCAGAGAAGGATATTTGATTTAAGAATAGATATCTTTTAAAAAAAAATATCTATTTTTGTCATTATAAAGCATTAAACGTCAACATGTCTATACATAGAAATAAGAACTGTCTTGAAATTTTTTATCTAACAGTTTGATCTCAGATAGGAAATGGAAATATTTAAGATTTAGAATTATAAGTTTCTTTACTAGGGATGCAAATGATTCATAGCCTGTTAATTCATTTTTTTAAATCCTTAAGAATCTTCTCTGAATAAACACAAAAACTAATTTTTCATTTGTTATAACTTTTCTTATGTACCATATTGAATTTATTCAGAGTAATAAATTTAATGCAGAGGTTGTATTTTAAAATTTCTTGCTATTATTAGCTAAAATATGTTTGCAAGATGCATTTTGCAAAATAAAAAAACTATAAAACACAAGAACTAATTTCTTTTCTTTAGTGTTTTTATAATATATAGTTAAAAGAATTTAAATAAAGTATGATTTTTAAATTTTTATTAGATTTATTCTATAAACATTAAATATTGTTAAAATAGAAAATTTTGTTTTGAAATTCACTGTTTCAGAGAAAAAATACTGAAATTGTTTTACAAAATTTAAAGATTACAGAAAGAAACTTAGAAATAAAATTTTTGAAATATTTAGAGGAATGTTTTTTTGCATTGAATCCTTCTCATTGAGAAAAAATATCTGCAGGTGCCCTTAATTAATTTTTTCTCATTCACAACTAAAACCTAATTTTAGTTTTTAGTTTTGTTTTTTTTTAATAAGAGTTCCAAAAAATTTCAAACCGAAACCAGTTTAATTTCTCATTTTAATTTGTAATGACTTTTTCCTCCGTCTAATCACACAAAAATAAGAATTAATCATTGAAAAATAATCAAAACTTAGCTGTATTATCGGTATGTGGTAAACAGAAAAAAACTTTAATAGAAATGTTTAAGATAATAAGGACAATTAAATATTAAGATAATTAGAAATATTTACAATAAAAAAAACTGACTCAAAACCTAAGTAAAAAAAAGAAAGAAAAAGAAATAGATAAAATAAGCGAAAAAAAGAAGAAGATTATATACAAAAGAAAAACAGAATTTTTGAAAGAAAATTTTAAAGCTTATGCTTAACATTTCAATTAACGTAGATTCAAGAAAAAGTGAAGATTGAAGTCTAATAAGAACCATCTTAATTGATGCATCATAATATAAACGTTAGTTTTTTGAAAAATAAATAGTTAGATAAAAACCAAAACAAAAATCTTTTTTAATTCTTTTGCGTTGCCGCAATTTTAGAAAAAAGTTACCATAAAAGAATAACGTTGATTAGAAACGATCTTGCTCATTCTGATCAACAAGTTTATAACTGCACTGCATTCAAGAGGCAACTATTAATTCTACAATTCATAGTTACTTGTAAATTTCAATTTTTTTTTCTGAAAACTAGCAAAATTTTAAAATTAAAACATTCATTTACCTTAAAAATCTCTAATAATTAAATAAGACTAACTTATTTCATAAATACCTTAGACTTAGAACAATTATTTTTTTTTTTATACAGAAAAAAACTTTCTTTTTTACATAGTTATGATTTAAAAATATATGAAAATATAAAAGCCATCATGGCTTTCAATTTTATTTACAGTGTTCTCCCTTTAATTCTGAAATCAAAGTTCATGCATTTCATGACAATTTTAATGTCTAGGTACCTACGTTCAATAAATTTTATGGGCATATATAAAAATATTCATTTTGTACACAATGACTTTTAATGGCATTATCTAATTGCTTAATTAGGTTGCTTTTTTTAATAAAAACACTACTTCTACTTAATTAATATATATTATTTTTTTATTTAAATCAAATAGTATTATTTAGTTTTGGGATGCCGAAAAATAAATTACTATTGATTGACACTATTGATGCTTATAAATAATTGTAATATGAACAATTGCTGTTGTGGTATCATGATAATAAATACCTAAAATAGATTTTCATGCCTCCCTCCCTATAACAGATTAGTAAGATCAAAATTACTGATAAAAAAAAAATGCTAACTATATTTTTGCACAAAAACTGTTTAAGGTAGAATTTTAATTTTTGATACAAGTTTGGTGACTTAATGTAACTTCAAACATTTAAAAAATTTCAGCAATCAAGAATTACTTTATAACCAATTAATTCTTGATCACTTCTATGGTAATTTTATTCATTTGCTTAAACTTTTTTCTCTTAGTGAAGATGCATTTTGAAAATGGCTGTAATAATTAACATATAATATGCAAGATCAAATAAAGAAATCCACAAGACTATGTTGAGAAACATATTAAATGGTTAATTTAGAAGATAAGGGACTCATTCTAAAGCTTTAAGCGAATGTAAAAAACAGTTCAACATATCTTAGTATTCATGGATTTTTTTAAAGTTCACTAGATACGAATGTATAAAGCAAAGAAGGGAACTTAAACAGTTCCAGCAGCAGGACACTTGAGCTTTTATTTAGTATAATTATAATTATTGAAACAAAATTAATTTTCGATTTGAGAGCATATAACTATTTTATTAAACGTAGTTTCACTATAGATATCACTATAATTTAATAAGCTTCAAATATTACTATTAAAAAACGTAGTACCATAATACAGACATAGTAAGAAAAAATAGAAATGAAGTCAGTCAGAACATTTTAATTCCATTAGTTAAGAGAAAACATCCTGATTGCTATTTAAATGAATGGTCATTTAAAATTATGCATTCAATTTTTTTTTAAATAATTTTTAACAAGAAATAACAAAGACCAGGAAATACTTCAGTGTCCAATAAACATCCTATCTATATAAGGTAACTATTTAAATTCAATAATTTATTTTCCTGTTTGCATTTGATGTTTAACAACTAATCAAAAGCTTATACTACTCTTAGAGAAAGTAAGATAGTTAAATCCAATATAATGTTATTTGTTGAAGAGAAGAGGATCTTTTTATAAAGTGGAATATTTAGGCTTAAAATCCCTGAAACAAAGCAGTTGTTTTTTTAAAAAAAAATATTTTGTAAACAATAATGCTTATTGCAATTTAGTAAATGTAGTTATACTTCTATAAAATGTTGAGGCATTCTAAGCTAAAACTCAAATTTCTCTCCCCCACCCTTAAATTAGTAGCGTCTATGAATTAATAGCTTCAAAACAACTGAAGATGAGAATCAATTTTATTTGCAAGAAAAAAGAATGCTCAAATAAAAGTTCGTGTGCATTGTTTACTATAATTCCCCTCTTCTTGTTACTTGAGATTCCTTTTGTCTTTTTTTTCTTCCAAAAAAACACCAAAAAACAAATTCTTGGGGCCACGTAATAACAGATCTACATCGAAATAGTTTTTAATAATGGTGAAGAAATATAAATAAATAAAAGTTTGGACTTGTTTCGATATTACATCTTGATTAATACAACGTATGTTATTAAAAGATTCAACAAAACAAAAGTCTTAATTGAGCATAGATTGAAAATATTCAATTAAAACATCTCGATAGTAATTTTGATTATAAACCGAAAAACTTAACAAATACTTTATAGGGATTATAGTGTAATCCAACTAAATGAGAAAGATTAGTTATGTTCAAAACAAATAGATCAGTATAAACAAAATAACAGATTTTTAAAAAATTTCGCCATTGATTGTCAAGTTGCAGATTAAGTTTTTCTAAGTAAAAAATTAAATGTAAATCACACACTGTAAAAAGAAACATTAAAACTCACCCTCTTCGACCCATTCTATCTCTTCCTGACATTTTAAAATAATAATTTAAGTTTTAAATTTATAAAATGAATACTTTTATGACGGAGTTCAATGGTCACGTATGTAGAATGGCGACCGTGTCACTGAAAGGATGAATGTATTCTTCCACAAATAAATATAAAAAACTCGACGGAACGTTCCTTTTAATTCAATTTTTTAATATGATGATTCAAAATTTATTTTTTGTAATCAGAACAAAGTTTTAAAAATCATGAAAATAAATTATTAAATATATAACTTTTTACTAATTAATATGTAAACCGGCTATGACGTAGGCAGAAAGTTATTGCCAGTCCACAAATATTGAAAATAAGAATTCTTGAGACTGGATTGGACTAGGGGTTTATTTTCACTCCACATGCGATATGCATATGCGATTATGCGTCAATGCGATTTGTGAATGCTCGAGCATTTCATCTCAGACGTAGTTTCTAAGCATTGGTATGCTCGTCTAATCTCATTGCTTGCTTTTTTCTCACATTCAAATGAGAACATGATAAACCCGCCAATGAGGCTCGCATTTGTGACAAAAATTTTATAGTTTGTCTAATGAAAGAACTCCCCTGGCTATTCATCTGGAACCGTAGTGGTGACTATGGTAATGAGATATAACTATTTCAAGTAGGGGTTTGGGATCACTGTTTAGACAGGTTTTGGCTCAAATCGGTGAGAGAAAGGGAACCCTTTTCTGTGGTCTATTGCGTTAGCCCTAGAGTGAAGAAAAGCCTGTCTCCCTAAAATGCGCTATTCTTGTTTCCATAGCAGTAGACGGCCTCAGATTTTGTGGCAAGGGGAGTTCTTACCGTAGATAAACTATAAGAGACCCATAAAGTCAACAAAGCTTTCCTTGATCGAACGGGACCAGTGGTGTGGTTTTGTAATCCAGCTACTTGGGGGTCTAGGCTGCTGGGTGACTTGAGGATGGAAGTTCCGCCCTCTGCTCGTCTATCGTCTATGTTGAACAGGCGTTTGCATTAAGGTATCCGAACACGTTCGGAGGATTTTTTTAAACATATTAAGTTTCAGAACACTTTAATTATGTTTTTATATTTATTATATGTAAAAACTAATATTAAATAAGAGAAATTAGACATTTATATTATATTTTGTTTTTAAAAGCTAAATAACAAGAAAAAAATGATGTTTTTTTCATAAAACTTGTGAAAGGATATACTTCACCAAAATTATTGTATCAAAAAAGTGTTATTATCAAAATAAAGAGCTGAATTTTGTCTAGTGATTTGACTACAATCATAAAAATATTTGGAAAATTAAATTTTTTATAGAGAATTGAAAACTTTTTATGAGATTTTTGTCAAATTTTTTACGTCGTATTTCACATTTTAGACCAATAATAAAAAACTATTAAGTATTTTTAATCAATTGTAGCACAAGCACTAGAAAACATTATACATAATACACATACAAATTTTTATTGAAATATATCAACAACTTTTTTAATAATGAATTTTGAAAGTTACTATTTTTGCGTGAAATTACATTCTGAGAAAAAGGCATTTAAAGTATAAATTATATCATTTCTATTTTAAAAATGCTTCAATACTTCTAAAATTCTCCCGATTTGTATGTGATACCTTCCTTTTTCTCAATTTTACAAATTTTTTGTTTTTTTGCAACCCTATTTTTTTTCTGACAATTTTTACATTAGTTAATGAATGGCGTTGAGACTCATACACACGCTCAAAATCAAGTTCTGTAAAACCTTTTAAAGTTTTATTGCCACGGCTGACTCCAACTATGTCGAGTATGCTTTTCAGTCCCAGAAAACCTTTATTAAACTGAATAACAGCCAAATACACACCAAATTGTAATGTTTGCAATTCAACGAACACCTCCTTAGGGACAAATTTCCAAATAATGCCATTAAAGCTACTAATATAAATGATAAATTGAGAGGTTCATTTCTAGCAACATTAAAATAATAATTATTTAAGTCAAAGAAAGATAATTATCCCAAAATAAAGATAAATATAACTGTTTTTGTCCCACTTCCGGTTTCGGAATGCTATTTCGGGTTTAATTTTTTAGTCATCGACTAATATTCTTTTAATCATAACTTTTGTTCTAATTGACGCACAGTTAAAATTTAAACTGTTTTGAAAACTAGAATAAACGGAGATTCGTAATATGAAATAAAAAAAATTTGTCATTTTAGGCTAAAATTCACTTTTTCAACGTTTACGGATACCTTAAGCACGATGTCGATATGATGGATTCGGAGGAGTTTGCAGTTAATTGGTCGTCTATGGCGGGGCGAACAGGCCCAGTTCGGAAACGGAGCAGGCAAAAGCTCTCTCACCGTGCAGTAATGGGATTGCGCTTGTGAATAGAGATTGGTTGGCAGCGCATCCAATATAATCAGACACAGTCTTTTTAGTTTTTTAAACAACGAATTACTTAATTTTAAAAATTTATATTGATTATTTTGAAAATTGAAACTCTTTAGTCAGTCAAACGATGCTGTGCATTACTTTGATTCGTGAAATAAATTTTATAATACCAATTTTCTTTTAATCAGCATTTATTTATCAAATTTCTTTAATATTTAGTATAAGGTTTTATCTAAATGTTTCATTTTTATTATGAAATGTATTCATATAGCGAAATTTTATGTAATTTAGTGCAAGAAATTTTATTTCAATAATACGTAATAATTTCAATAGTACATAGGAAATAAACGAATCTTTTCTAACTTATCTACTGGATGGCAGTATTAGGTAAAAAAAAAATTACTACTGCCTTGGCATACTATAGTTCATGCATTGAACAAATGGCTTTTATTTTTTTTTTGGGGGGGGGGGGTTAATAAAATGATTTATTTAAAAATAGAAACCAATCAAATTAAAATAAAATCTATGTGAGTAAATTATTAAAATTTGTGTTCTATTACTTTTTATTATTATTTTAATTTTTCAGTTTTAATCTGTATTAAAATAACTCAATTTATACAGTAACAATTTATATTGTTCAATCATTAAATTATCGTGAAAAGGAGGATGAAGTTTAAATTATATTCTTATTTTATTAGAATCATCTGCATCGCAGGCTTTTTGAGAGAGAAGAAATGAAAATACACAATCACAAAAGCTTTCTAAATTTCACACATAAGAAAAAAATTCTTATGTTTGCTAAATATTACTAACAAATTGATCATTTTTATCTCTTTCTCGTTCTGAACTTTGATGAATTTAAATCAAGGATGATTCTTAAAAATTTTCTTCATTTGTTCGACAAATTGAGGCTTTGTGTAAGAGTTTTCTAATTATTGAGGGGAACATATACCCATTGCCCCCCCCCATAAGTTCGCATCTGATTAAAATTTGATATTAATTTAAGTACCACGAATTTCCTCCTCTGTTCGCTCCTTTCATTAAACCCTGGGATTGCTTCTCACTCATCACTTTTTTTGAAAATTCGAAGTTTTAAAAAAAGGAAACAAAGACCATTTTGTAAATAAATTATTATAAATATTCCCATATGTTTTTTTCTAAATTTATGTTAATATGTAATATATATGTAAATATGTTATTATAAATATACGAAATAGCACTTTGTATGTAAGTTAAATATTTTATACCCGTCATTGAACAGTCGACCCAATTTTCGGTTTACGACTACTAAGGTTCAACTCCGTAACCTTGTAATTTTGTACCCAATCCAGAAGACAAAGGAACTCCTGGATCGAGTATTGAGAGAAATTTGCCTTCGTGGAGGACTTTTTGATGGAGCTAACCAGCCTAACTGCAAGGGGACTCTAACCCATGATCCGTCTTCCACTGAGGATATTTCACGGCAGCACTGTGCGAGGCGGATGCGGAATTCGCATTGGCTGGGATTCGAACCAGGTTAGTCTCATTGGAAGGCTAAAGCTCTATCCCCTGAGTCATCGCGACTCATGTAGTAAGAAATGAACTATTACCTGTATTTAAAAAATTATCTACTGCACTTGAAAAAAAAATTGAATTCACAGGTGCTGTTATTGGCGGCATTACAATCAGTTAATTTTAACAAGTTCTTTTAATTTTTGCTTAAAAAGTCCAGTTTACGACCACATTATATCGAAGAAGTGACCTACCACAATGTCTTAGAGGTTAGAGCGAGCACCTCTAAATAAAGTAATCCAGATTCGAATCCCAGTGATTATTTTTCGTTACAAATTGTACCGACATGAAATATTCACATTTGGTGCTAGTGCAAATTTACTTCGTAACTTTCACAAAGGAATATTTGCTCCCATATTGTAAAAGTCTGTTGAGACAATAGATTTATTTATTTTTGTTATAAAATCTTGTTTAGTTACGATAAAAAACCAGTCTGATTGCGGATTTTCTTCGTAATTTTTACAGTTGTGCGCAACTTACTCAGCTGCCCTTAGAATGGCCAACAAATCTGCCTTTCAGATGCTTGTTTAATGAAAGATCATTCTCCTAGAAAAAAGAAAAGAAAAAAGAAAAAAAAAAGCCCTGCTGCCTGGTTAAAATCGAGAATTTTACGGGATGTTTTTTACAGTGTATATCCTATAAAGAATTCCCCGTTCTATTTTATGTAATATAAATGTACTATAAGGGATTTTCCCACTTCTTTATTTTCATTTCTTTATATTCTATGTTTGAATTAAATTTGATGGGTATGTAGGATTTCTTATGATTTTTTTCATGTGATTCTATTAAAATTTATTAGTGTACGTAAACAATTTTGCTTGGCAATAATTTTCTTAAAATAACATTAAAACTACATATGGTTTGTTTCCAAACGTGTTTTAATTTTTATTTTCATTTGCCAAACTTGCCGATTTATCTTGCTTGAAGCTGATCGTTATGTTCGAAATCATTGAAAGATTTGCTTTAACAGTACATCATATTAGTATATTAATATAATTTACACATAAAAATATTAATATTATCGATTCAAGTAAGTTTACCCCAAAATTCAGCGTAACAAGGTTATAGCATAGAATTGCGTTGTAGAAGAAACAACTCTTTTAGTTTCATACTCTTAAATTTAGAAAACAATGAACAATCTGAAACATAATAATAATAGCAGATTAAAGAAAAGAAAAATAAATATTAATGATGAAAAATTTGGGATACAAAAATATTTTATAGGAAAACAATGCCTTTTATTGGTTTTATGGTGATGACAATCAAAAAAATATGGAGATTAATGTGGAAAAAGTGAATCCTGCAATGTAATTTTCCGACCAATAAAAATGTACCGACAGTGGAAAATGGAGACAACATCATTAGCTTTTTATATATATTTAGATATTTTGACCTTGAAACACAACAGATACGTGCATGAAATTTTGATTAAATCTTAGCACGAACTCTTTTCGAAAAGATAATTTTTTTAAGTCTACGTTACGTTATTTATCGTAGTTTAAACTTAAAAAAAAGAAAAATAAATTTACAAAACGACGAAAATAAAACGACTGGGATACTGACTCGAACAATAAAAGAGATACTGATAATTCTACTTATTATTTAACTATTTTTTATTAAATAAGAATGATGAAAATAAAAATAAAAAGGTAACAAAAGAAAAAAAAAACAGTAAAATTGATTGAATATCTTTGAACTTGCTAATTGGAAACTTTAATGTTGTCAGAAAATCAAAATTTATCAGTAAAATAAATCTTTGAAGCATTGCCTGTTAAAAATACAAATATTTTTTATTCTATCTGAAAATGAAAGACAAAGAAAAGTAGTTAATTTATACAGAAAAGGTGAATGAATTTAGAATTTTATAAGAACGACGTCGATTTAAACTCAATCTGAAAGGAAATGACTTGTCCAGCTTCTTTTTGATGAAGATTTTTCAAACAGCGTGAATCCCATTCAGTTATCAACATATGTGGTCTCTTTTTTTTAAAATCATTTCTGCGTTGTAAGGGTAATTTTTGTAACCATGTTTTTGAGTTTTTAATGAAAGAGAAAGCCTTTCTCTTCCTTTAAAAATACAAAAACATGGTTGCAAAAGTTACCCTCAATAGAAATACACTTAATCACTTTACACCGAAGAGCCATTACATTATGACCACCCTCCATCTACAACAATGGGCTCGCCCAGGTTTTCATGGTTACTCGCCCAGGAACTATGTTTTCATGGAGCACATTAGAACCTATAATCCTCGTAGAACAATCCCTGACGTCTGTAAGCTACTTGAACAAAGTTGCAGACCATTTTCACCCATTCACGGCAACAGTTTTTCCTGCGGGGGATGGTGTTTACCAACAGGATAATGCACCATGTCACAAGGGTCGAATCGTCATGGATTGGTTCGAGGAACATTCCAGTGACTTTCAAGTCATGTCTTGGCCCTCAAATTCACCTGACCTTAATCCAATAGACAATTTGTGGTCCTACTTGGAAAACCAAATTCGTGCTGTCACGCTACCCCCTCGCAATGTGAGGGAATTGCAGGACCAGTTGGTGAGCGCTTGATACCAGATACCTCAGACTGCCTATCAGCACCTTGTGGAATCAATGCCACGGCGGGTGCTAGCAGTTTTGAGGGCTAAAGGTGGTCCTACATGTTATTAGCAGGGTGGTCATAATGTAATGGCTCTTCGGTGTATATAACAATTCTTTAAGGCCAGAACCACGTCTAAGATCATTTCCTTTTTCTGATTAATTCGGTTTGCATTGATTCTTTTTTCTGAGTATTCAAAATTTTTACTAGAAGTTTATAACTGGCCTATGTAACCTAAATTCATGGTCTCAATAACCCAGTCAATATCGTCTTCGAAAGTGACGACGTTTTTCCTTGTTCCTTTGACAAAAACATAATTAGTTTCACCTCTATAAAAACGTAGTTTTCAAAAATTTTATTTTACATTGTTATCGAAATTGTTTTTGGATTTGAAAGAACAAATGTCTGTGTTTTATTTATATTTATTACAGGAAAAACTTTTATACAGTTCATGACACTAAGACAAAGCGCACATTTGCGATTAATGTATTATACACAATGAAAACAATATTTCTTAACATGGAAAAAATTACAAGATAATTACACCAGTATGATATTATAAAGGAAAACATAATTATCGTCAAAGAACGTTTGAAATACAATTCTTATTGCAAAATTAATGAAGTCCTTTAACGGATTTGTTTTAATATTAGAAGTATATGAAAGGATAAAGTTAAATCTTGAGAAATTATTTAACATTTCTCGTAGCATCTCTGTAGTGATTAAACTTGGAATGAGTTTAACTATTGACTTAAGAATATATTGTTTTATTAAGTAACAAAGTATAAACCTTAATATACAGCAAAAGAAGCAATTTTTGCTTTTTATTATTGCATTTCATTTAATCAACATATGTCTTACGCTTTCGTCGTCTTCTCGAATTTATTGTAATACCCCTCCTTTCACTGGGCCTAATTATGTCTGATGAAGTGAGATTAGAGATTCTTGGATCGAAAACGGGATAAAAAACTTTTTTGGGGACAAGATCAGTGCTCTCTGCCTGTCGAAGTGCTGCATCGATAACGTCTTTTGCGCTAAGAGGTCGATCTGCGTCATAATCAGAGATGGATGAGAAAGAAGACTCTCGTAATCTTGTATCCTTTGAGCTCAATCCTCGATCATCCACATCTGAATGAAAAGGTCTCTTGGAGCCATCTGATGGAGGTAGAAAGCCTTCTTTTCGTTCATCAGATCGGGGTGGTGAAGTATTCCGTAATCGTGTCCCAGAAAAGTCACGAGATCCATCTCTATCCTCTCGTATTGGTAATGTATCACTTGGTTTTAGTTCAGATGGGTTGTCATATCTATCCCCATACCTGTCATCATTATATTTACTCCTATTTCTATCTAAACTGCTCTCTTTATATTCAGCACCATCATCATATCGATCTCTGTCACGATCATATCTGCTTTCATCATATCTATCTCTAGTACGGTCATACCGTTCCTCTCCATGCCTGTCCTCGACAAATCTATCTCTGTTTCGATCGTACCTATCTTCCGCATATCTGTAATCATATCTATCTCTGTTTCGATCGTATCTGTCTTCTTCATATCGGTCATCATATCTATCTCGATTTCTATCATATCTGTCATCTTCATATTTAGGATCTTCAAATTTATCTCTCTTTCGATTATATTCATCTTGTTCTCTGTTGCGTTCGTTCCTATTTATAGGTCCATCTCTGTCTCTGCGTTCGTCCCTATTTATAGGTCCATCCCTGTCGAATCTATCTCTACTTGAAGCATCTCGATACCGATCTTCTTTGTTTCCGTCTTTGTCATATCTAACACCATCATCCCTTAGAGTAGAATCCCTACTTCGCACATTAGTGCGCCTGCTTCGCTCATAGTCATCATCATCGGTATATTTTTTATTTGGATCATCTGAACGATAATCGCGTCTTCTATCGTCGTATGGAGTACTGATAGGCTGATTTGGTCTTGATCGTGAATTTGCATTGCTAAGTCTGTATTCATCATCCTCAGGTGAATATGATCTACGTTCTAAAGATATTTCATCGTTTCCTAGTTTTGATGGTTGCTTAATTTCATCACTTGCATAATATTCTCTTCTGCCACTTGGAGATATCCTAGAACTTTCTATTCTGGTGGAAGTTGGTGTTCTTCTAGATCGGTCATCATCATCTTGGTATTTTGTATCTATTATAGTGGGACGCCTGTTATTCTGATAAGATCCATCTACTCTTCTTTCATACGCATATGCGTCTTCATCAGGTTCTCGAGTTATATACCTATCATCTTTTACTCTTGTAGGAGCGATTCTATCTCTACCATCAAGGCGAGGAAATTTATCTAAATCATCATCTTTAAAAATTTTCCTGTCACGATTTTCAATACCCACATCTCTTTTCAAATCTGATGTATCATCTTCTACATAAGATCTTGAGCCACTACTGAGATACCGGCGATCGTTTATTGTGCTTTCAGTTTGCCGCGTATATTTTATTCCCTCAAGAGTCGGGCCATAATCAGTTCTACTGCTCTGTATTGAATCTCTGCCGGAGCCTCGAGTTTCAGGGCGATAATGATCTTCTTTAGAATCGTATCTGGAAGAATCTACAGCTTCATCTCGATAATTATATCTATCATCTGTTCTGCTGCGTGTGCGACTAGGTTGGACAACATCATCTCTAAATCTATCTCTGTAGCGATATTCATCATCTTTAGTCAATTTTCTCCTATCATAGTCCTCAACTCTGTCATCATCATATCTTCTTCTAGATTCATCTCGATATCTGCTTTCTGGTATTTTATCATTACCTCTTTCTGTTGGATATCTTTCATCAAACCTTTCAGCAACATCTCTACTTCTTTCTTCATCACGATACAGCCGTCTTTTTTCATCTGTCTGTCTGTCTTGATACCTATGTTCTCTTACTCGCCTATCTTGAAAATCATCTCTGCTCTTCCTCTCTTCATTTGGATATTTCTCAAAGTATTCATCATCGGAAGATACTCTAGAACGATCTCTGTTAATTCTTCTATCTCGATCATCATAACGGTCACTGTCTTCTTCTTTCTTATCTGGATATCTTTGAACAGTTATTCTATCTCGATATCTATCTTCAAAGGATTTATCGTCGTACTTTCCTTCGTCTCCTCTGCGCCGATCACGTCGATCATCTACACTCCTATCTTCCTCAACTATTCTATCACGATTTCTGTTATCTCTTGTTGGTCCATAGCTATCATCTTCTCTTTTCCTGTCTTCCACGTGTCTATCATCATAGGGTATTCTATCCCGATATCTATCTTCCCTATCATCATATTTGTCAACATCCCATCGTCGTCTCGTATTTAAATTTCTGTATCTGTCATCTCTATCACTGTCTCTGTCTCTCAGTCTTACGTCCTCCTGAGATGGAGGTCGTATAACTCGACTATCTCCTTTAGGCATTTTATCATCTTCGCTTCGATCATTATCACGTACCGAATCAGCCCGATCATCGAATCCTCTGTCTCTATTATTATTGCCTGGAAGAAGTTCTCTCCTATTTTCGAAATTTGGATTTCTGGATGCTAAATCGTCCTCGGGGAGTCTGGAATTCACAACAGTAATGGGAGGAATTTCCTCACGCGTGCTACCACTTTGATTAAGATGCGTTGTTTCTGAAAAATAAAAACAATCATTACATATTTTTTATGAGTTTTGACAAAATATTTCATTACATTTCCCGCAAATATAATTTTACATAAATATCTGTTTTAAATTATGATTACAGTAAATGAATATCTAATGTAGCAATAGCTTTAAATTAAATTAAAAGATAATAATTACATTGTGATACCGTCTTTTTATTTTTATAGTTTAATCTTTAGAAATCCATAGAAAATAGTTCGTATAAATGCTTAAGTGAAAAGCCTTTTTTTCGAAATGACTTATAAAGCTAAAAAAATAACTTTTTTTCAATTATTAAGTTTTTTTTTCTCAGTAAAATTATTCTTTTATTAGTGATACTAATAAATATTAGTGGCTTAATTTTTATTTTTGCTCTGCAAATAATTTATGCTTCAGTTATAATTTAGTAGTAATATTTCTATAAAATGAAGTTCATTTTACCTTTAATATTTTTCTATCACTGTAATAAATAATCATTATTTGAAATAATCTGGTCAGTTTTATTCATCAGTATGAGAGAATCGTATTTGGCTACTAATATAAACAATTTGATTTGAGTATCTTAAAATTTTAAAAAGTTTCAAACAATTTTCCAAGTTGTTTTTTTAATTTTCAAAAGAAAGCTCAAAACGATCAGGGATTTTTCAAATATTTTATTTTGTATCATAAGACAGAATTTAACAACAATAATACCTTACGATGATCGCCTGGAAATTAAACTTCGATGGTATAGAGAAAGAAAACATTCAAAAGAAAACATACATTTATGGGGGGTGATCCCCACAATGCTGGTCTTATTTTTAATAAATCTTGTTTAATAGTACAAGAGGAAATCTATGGATAACCCATTATCGTGTTGAGTTTTCCTTTAAAAAGTTCGAAACTACTTAGAAATTGCTTGAAACTTCTTAACATGTTCAAACAGAGCTTTTATCATTAGTTGCCAAATACGATTCCCTGCAAAATTCTGAAAAAACTTTAAATTTCTTATACTCATGCACAGTATAAAGGAACTAATTTAAATACTCATATCTGGCGCAGTTTTTTACGAATTTCTTTAAAATTTTAAAACAACAATTTCGTAATTAATTTTAAATGTCTCTACAAATTTTGTTTAATTCTTTTGAATATCTATGAAGTTATAGCAAAAACACGCAATCCGAAAAAATAAATCTTTTATAAAAATGTCCATTTCTTCATAAATATTTATTCTAGGATTACGAAAATTTTTGCAGTTATTAAAAATAACAACTAAAGTAATCGATACAGGTTACAAGTCTTTTTTGCTTGATTTTTTCGCATAGGGTGTTCAAAGGTCCTTGTTTTTTTTCGCACTTTATTGTAGATCTTCCAAACCTCTAAAAGCTTTAAATCTTATGAAAAATCAGATGAACTAAGCACCTCCAAAGTTACAAAATAATCCTTTAAATATTTCCTAAGAAATTTTTAAGGGATTTTTTTCGTACTTTATTGTAGATCTTCCAAACCTCTAAAAGCTTTAAATCTTATGAAAAATCAGATGAACTAAGCACCTCCATTGTTACAAAATAATCCTTTAAATATTTCCTAAGAAATTTAACAAAAATGTCAAAAACTGAAAGCGTTTCTTCCATTATTGTTGGTTAGTGTTCGTCAGTAATTAAATTCCTATAATTTCTTTAAGTAAGACGGAAAAAAAATTACATTGATTCGTCATATTTGAAAGAAAAAAAAACTCATTTAAATAAATGTGGTAAAATTTTCTCAGCGTTTGTGGCAGCCTGTCGAATTTCTTTGCTCTGAGATGTTCAATTAGGATGTTTGGAATTAAACTACTGGAAACTTTATACAAGAATATCTCCATACCACATATTTTAAACGACGACTTGAAAACTTTGAAGGTAAATGATTATTAATTAATTTCTTTAATTTGGTGAGAAAGCAAAAAAAATTTAATATTTGAGATATTTTTCTCGTAGTACATATTCTTGAAGCTATACTCTGTAGAGTTATTATTTTGGCCCCATTGTATTTATCATTTTTACAGTTTCATCTAAGGAACAACAGATTTTCAACGGATTTTATTTTCAGAATTTGAAATGAAAAATTTTTTTGTCTTGAATTAAATTTCAAACATCCTATGTTTTCCAAAGTTCATCAAATTTTTATCCGACGATAACCTCATTTCTTATAAACAGAGGAGTTTTTATTTATTTATCTTTATTTCCGATCATTGCATAACTAAATGCAACTAAGTTTCGAAATTTGTTTACAAATCTATGTTATCCTAGGAAAAAGAAGATATGATTAGAATTATTCCAATATTATATAAAAATATGAATTATGATAGAACAACCATTACTTTGAATTATTCACGGCATAGCTGTTTCAGTTACGGGAAAAAGAACAAGATGGGAAAAAAAAAACTAATCAGCGATTAGTTTTTTTTAGAAAATAAATGAGAGAATCGGAGAATTGGTGGATCATTTGTAAACAAATATTTATTTTTATAAATTAATAAATTCTTTTTACGATGATACAGCAAATTATTCATGGACTTATTTTAAGTTTTAAATAATTCCGTTAAATTTTTTTTCAAATTTGATTACCGAAGTAGGAGTTGCAGAAATTTCTGTTTTGGATTAAAATAAAGTTATTAATTGCTATTAAATTTGCTGCATAATTTTTTTAAAGATATGTTTTTATTTAAGTAAATATAAGTAATATAATATATTTTTCAAAGAAAAATAAAGGAAAATTTTGAAAAACCATTATTATTTTATTTTTTGCAGTCGCATTAAAGGCATAAAATGTATGCTTTATAATAATATAAATTTCTTTTCAATACAATTTCACAACATAAAATAAAACTTTATTTTATTTTTGTAAAAAGTCTAACAATACGATAGTAGAGTACTTATATTACAAATTAAAGAAATAATTTTCATTCAAAACAGCACGATTCACTAAAAACAACATGATTTATTTAAAACAAAGAATTTTATTAAATTATAACTTGCAATAATCTGATTAAAAAATATGTTATTCTTCTGAACCTTGTGTTGATATACGATATCATTAAACCTGGTTTAAATTTTAAGGAGTAAGTTGTTTGAATAAAAGTTATTGCAAGCACTTATTGCATTGTTGTCGTAATTTTAATTTTAGTTTCTAAATATGAAATTTTGCATAAAAGTGTAAAATAAATTGTCATTTCCTTAGTTAGAACATGTAATCTGAGTATGTGTTTTTAGACGGAAAAAGTATTTTTATGTTTTAAATTAACTTTATTAGTATAATTTGTATAATTAAAATTGAGAAAAGATGCCAGTTTTGAAGCACTCTAATCCATCAACATTACATTACAATAACATTATACCAGCAATACCAGCTGCAATACCAGCATACCATAATCATGCAATACCAGCTGTAGCCATTATATTAGTAATAACTAGAATATAATATTATTCATATGTAACCAATTTAATACTAATAACAGGAATATATTATTATATTCATGCATAACCATTATATTAGTAATTACCAGCGCATAATAAGAGATATAACCATAAAAATTATCCCTATATGATAAACCATTATAAGAAATAACCAACATATAATATTAGTACACTGAGAAAAAAAGTATGATCAAAACTATCAACATGGTAAAATTTATCGTGTTTCAGGCTTTATGAGAACACCCAAAAGCTCCAGTAATTTCTACCAAAGCGCTTTTTGTAATGATTTTGGTAAAATTTACAATAAAATATAGTTTTATAATATGTGGTAAAATTTAGTAAATGACAGCGAAGTACAGCGAAATTTCTGCTACCATATGAACGGAAAAATTACCAAATCAATGGTTTAAATTCCGATTATTGTGGGCTTCATAAACCAGAATTATGCTTTTTCTTACCAAAAATGTTATTACCATTGTACGGTAATTTTAACAGAATTTTTTTCTCTGTGAAATAAATATTATTTCGGTAACTACCTGCATACAATATTAGCTGTAACAGTTGTATTGATAATAACAAACACGTAATATTAACATAACCATTACATTGATAAAAGCTTGCGTATAATATTTATAGAAATAATTATTTTGGTAACAACCAACAATATTAACCATAACAATTATGTCACAACTTATAACCAGTAAATAATATTAGTGTAAAAAATAAATATAAGTCAACTTGTTTTAAATTAAATGTTTACTAACTTTCATTGGCAAATTCTGAATTATTAACTTCTGTTGGGATAATTCTGCTTTTTGAACTTGAACTTATATTTCTTCTTTCATCGTGTTGTATTCCTGTTGTATTTCGATGATTCTTCTCTATTGATTTATCTTCATTTTTTTCGTTTGGTGAAGATGGAGATCTTTGTGAAACATCTTCCTCATCATTTGGTTTTTCTAGTAATAATTTAAAAACATTGAATGTTAATTTCATACACACAAATAGGGTATTAAAATACCTTAAATCTTTATATATAATATGAATCTGTCTTTGTATGATAACAAATCGATTTGTTGGCAAAAAGTTGCAGTTACAGCTACAATTAAGACTTGATACTTAGACACAATTTGTCTACAGTGGTAGAAAAAGGTTTAGACAACATTTCATAAGAATTTTTTTTAAATCAGTGGGATTGAAAATTGATTGTTTAAAATCAATTCATGGTTGCTTGTTTAAATGTTGTTTTAAAAATAAAATTAAACTATTCAAAGTATCTATCATAATCAAAAAAATTAAGAACCGCATAATTTGTGATATAATCATCTTTCAATACCTATAACCATAACTGGTACTTTATCAATTTACTAGCTGTACCCTGCGTGCGTTGCAACGCTTTCAATTTGAATTTGAATTTTGTATTTAAGTGTGTAAATGACATTTGCGATTATGATTTGAAATGCAAATTTTATTTAATGGTGAAAAAAAGCAGTTAATTCTCTAGGATATCATTAGTGCATTTTCAAACAGACATGTATGGTGATGCACACGGAGCATGAAACATATTTTGGACAATGATCTGAAATAAGACTGGATCTATGGTGACATCAAGAATTTCTGCTGATATCTGATCAGTTTTAGAAGGTGGTTTTTTTTCAATAAGCCAAATTAGAATGTGTGCCTGAGGCAATCCTCGTTTTTGCCATTCAATAGAGTACACCCAACACCGTGTCTCTCTAAAAACATGACGCTTCACAATGAAATCAAGTAAAGATTATCATTTTTGTTTGAACACACGTGCTGTAATATCATGACGATCCGATGATGATTGTCCTGGTAACAAAATATCTCTAATTTCAACCCAAGCAGAATTGCACGTAAATGTAATAAATAAATCTAGGAGCCCATATGCGAGAACATATGTCATTGCATCCTGTGAGTATTCATACATGTGCCTTGGAGTCCAAGGCACATGTATGAATACTCAGACATGTATGAATACTACATTTGCAGGGAGTCCAAGTTTTTCTCCCTGCAAATGTAGTCGGCAATATAATCATTTTCCCCACATCATTAGGATTAACGTTACCATCATTAATTATTGCATCCCGTAAATGAATGCATTCTTCTGAACGTAATTTGGTTTGATTTAATTTAATATACAGTAGGCGTTCAGTTTCAATTTTCGCATACATATCGACAATGTATTGATGAACTAATTGTCGACATTTTAAAGTATGATTATCAGCGTTTTGGCAATCATTAATCTATATGCATAAAAACTTATTGCACTTGCTTTCTTATTGGTTTTCTCGCCTGTTTGCGGACTTCTTAATTTTATGTTAAAATAATATCCCTCCTCTCCTCACCAAAATAAAATAGGATATTGCAATGCATCATATGATCGATACGTTTCTGAGAACTCTTTGAACGTCACGATTTCTGCGATGAAGAACTGTATCGCGGGAGGTAAATTCTTCGCCAACTATAACAATAGCCACTTCATCCAATGTTGGCGCATTGTATTTTTCTTTGTGGTGGCCTACAGGTGTTTTTTCAGCTCTAATAACAACTTTGTAAATATCGGATGACATTTAGTCTAGGGCAATTGTGAACAGCCTAATTAACTGATTATGTTGATCGAAAAATTTTTGTAATACGGTAACAATTTTTCGTTTAGTGCCATTGTTTACCTGACAACGTTGATTGACTTGATCATTTGTGTTATCCATGAAATAAATTTGTAGAAATTTATGATCTGCGTTAGGCATTGAAAGAAGTGATCCTTGCACGATGATAAATTTGGCCTTGCACTTTGAATGTTGGGATGTAATTCTCGTTCAGGATACGTGTAGCACCGAATAAAGTCATTTAGAAACACGAATTGTACCGGCGTATATGCGCCAAAAAATGTTTCGATTGGTTTGTTTGACCTGATACGAAGGTTGATAATGTCTCGGCAGGCGACGTAAAATCTTGTAGTTTCTGTATGCTTCTAGAACAGCAAATTTCAGCTGTTTCATTTTTAAATTTGAGAGCATTACAAAACATACATAATTGATATATTTCTCCGATGATGACACTTGGGGGAAGACTATAGTTTGTTGTCGGATCATAGTGAAATGCACTGAAATTCAAATCAGAGTATTGGCAGCGTCTGAATAGCGAAATGCGTTCTCGGTCGGTTTTCATTCTTGCTTCCCGTTGCTCTGATGTTTCCGACGAACGGGCTTGTGTAGTTCGTAGTTGATTTGTTGACAGTCTTCTTTCCTGTTGCTCAGACGTTTCTAAGGAACGGGCAAAAGCATTCTGTTCTCGATTAGTTTCAAGTCTTTTTCCCGTTGCTCCGATGTTTCTGAAACACGGGTAGTTCTCTTTTTGCGCGCTTGAGATGTCGACCGACTAAGAGCGATTTGCTTAGGCGGCATATTTTTGCAAATATTCTTTCTGACAACGAAAAAGAAATGTAAAAGTTGGCAGTGGTCGCAAATTTGCTAAATCGAAATATCACATACATATTTTAAATAATAAAAAGAGCAATAAAAATGAGATGAATAAGAAATATGAAAATTATAAGATTTAAAACAAAAATCAATTTTATAAATGAAAGAAATAAAATGGATGAATTCGAAAACTTTGCATAAATAAACAAACAAACTAATAGTTTTCAAATGACAACTGTCACAGCACTGAAATCTTCGAAAAGTATATTTAATTTTGCTAACCTAAAATTACGTACTAAATATAAATATTTCTGAAAACGTGCAATTTGAATGAAATTTGCTTTTGTCTTTATATTTATTAAACAGTTTTCACAGTACTGAATCCGTGATACGACCAACAATTAAGAAATCTATTCTCGTTGATTTTACTTGCTTGTGCTCACCTGACATAAAGAAAAGCGCGAATTAAAAATTAAAGTATATGCAATTTACTTTAATTTACTTTTCTAAATGAATAGAGTTATAAGATAGAAAATATCACTGTTGTTATCTTCAAGATATTTGAAAATTGAATCGTTTATAGCAAAATTTAAAACAATGGCTAGCTTTTAACCAATCAGAAAATTCCATTTCGACTTTCACTGATATCGCTGGAACGGTTTATCGCACGGGATAAAAAGTATCCTATGTCCTTCTCCTGGCTCTAAACTACCTCCCTGCCAATTTTCAGCTAAATCGGTTCAGCCGTTCTTGAGTTATAAGTGAAGTAACTAACACGACTTTCTTTTATATATATAGATTTATGCTAACATATGCCAAAAAAACTATTTTTTTTTAAAATTTTTTATTTTGTTAAAACGCGAGTTTTTTCTTAGAAGTTAATTCTAGTACTAAGTTTTGCAAATGAACTATAAATAAAGTTGTATTTTTTTATTTAAAGAACTAAATCAGTTCTTAATTAACGCAACTTCTTTGAGGTAATTGCAGTGAACAGAAATGACAAAACGTTAGTTGCTAGATATAGTTAAAGCTGTTTTTTGAAGAATATTTAGTCGTTCTTTTTAGCGAATAAAAAACCATATTTATACGTGTTAGGTTTTAAATATAGTACATTACTCATTACATTTATAACTGTTTATACTGTTAGGTTTTGTTTATCTTCTTTAGTCAAAGCTCTTTATGCTAATTATGAAAATAGTTTAGAATATAAATATGAAGATGCTATAGTTTTGTAAAAATGACAAGCAATTGTAATCTAATTTTTAAATATTCGAAAAGTTATTCCAACTATACAGTGCCTGAGTTAAAAAAAAATTTGTAAAAATTGAGAATTATTGATTGTATTTAATAAGAAACGTTAATTAAATTTAATTATTGATATTTATCTAGGTTAAAAAGTGTCTATGGCTAAAAATGTTTACAAGTGAAAATTTACTAATTTTTCAAATATTTAAGTTATTAGTATCTTTTAAGGACCTGATAATTCTTTACGGTAAGATAAAATAGTTTAAAATTATTACTTTTTTCTGAGTTTAAATGAACTTAAACTGCTACTTTTCCATTTTCGTTGTTGGAGGAGCAACACCTTTAACATGTTTTTGACTGAAAGTAAGAAAGCAAAATTCTTGAAAAACTTCGCTATGGTAACCGACTCTGCTATCAGACAACTCATAAGCTGCTTACCATATATCTCTAAATATGTTAGATTCAGGGGCTCTACAAAGTAAAGCAAAAAAAAAGTACAAGCAATTTTTAATATATTTTTTGAAAATATATAAATTAATAAAATATTACAAATAGTAATAAACGTACACTTTCATAAAGACATACATTTAATTAGTTTCAAACTGGCCATCTTTTTCAGCGATGCAGAGGTGAAAACGCTTATTGAAATTTTTAGCAATAATTCGCAAGTCTGCGGCTTTTAATTTGTCTCATTTACAACGAAGTGATTGCTTTAGAGAGTCCAAACCACTGTGCGATTTATTGCATGCCGTTGACTCAAAAATGGACCATACACTGTAATCCTTGGAATTGAGATCTGGTAAGAAAAGTAGCTATTCTTCAGAAGGTATCATTTCCAGAAAATGCGCATTGCACCACTTTTGTGAGCCTCGAGAGATGGTGCGGAGCTTGTTAAAACGTCCAGTTTTCGTTGCTGAAGTGCTTTTTGCCCTTCCTCCCACGAAAGAAGAACAGCTTCTATAAAACCCCGCTGGTACACTTTCTGATATATTTTTAACACCCTCATCCACAAAAACCATAAGTGTTATGTCGTTTGAGGAATATCCGCACCAGACCGTAACTGATTTTTGGATTTTTTGCGATGTTTTACAATTGCTGTGGTACTTGTAACGTCTACTGACTAGATCTAAACGTTCTAGGAGTTGTGATCTTGATGGACGGTTAAAAGCTTCTCATCAGTGACAAGAAATCTCTCCCCGAGCTGATTTGATTTGCGAGCTGATTGAGAGCTGATTTCAATATAAGTGTTTGCAACTTTGAATCACTGCTAAAGGTGGCCATTTTGAACCCAATTAAATTTATTTATCAGTAAAAGTCTACTCGCATTATCATGTGTATTTTTTTGATTTTGTTTATTTTTAATGAAATAAAATTAAAAAAATGTCTTCCGTTTTTCCCCCGCTCCTGTACTAGTATTTAAAATGATTCACAGCATGGATATCCTAAATAGAGAAAATCAGAAATTAAAAATATTTTTACTTAGCAAAATTGCTGTTGCTTCATCTTTTGCTACTTTCTTCTTAGACTTTTTGTAAAAATAAATAGGGAAAAGTGAGGTAATACCGGGTAGCTATGATTTGTTGACCTATTGGAGTTAAACTGTTTGACCTAGAAACTGTCAGATTTGATCAAGTAATATAAAATATATCATTCCTGAAAACAAAATCGATCTATTACTTTCTTTTATAAATGATTTTTATCTAGAAAAAAATTCAAATCACGCGGCCTTACTTAACTAGTGGGGTAAAACTGGGTACGCATGTTAACTCTATGGGAAATTTAAGAACACTAGAATTTCAGTGAAAATGCATTACTCAAAGAGAGAGGGACAATCGTCCGGGACATAGGACTGCTGAGGACTTGAATAAAACTCCCCAGAAAAAACATAGTGCTTATTATAATTAGTTTTTTTAAAGGAAATTGCTAAGAATTTCCTTATATCTATATAAAAGCTACGATTTTCTATAAAGGGTCTTCAAAAAATTCAGTAAAATATGAAAATAGGACTTTTGTTCTTTGAAGAAGGGGTCCGCAATGAATTTTGCCTCGAAGCCCATAAGCCTTTGTTCAGCGTTGGATGTGGTTGTCTTCTTCTTCCGCTGCGTTGCAGCTGTCGGAGGCTCAGAATAAACTCTTATCAAAGGGGTAGCTGGTCTTACACTGAGAGCAGAGGTTATTGAAATAAACCAATCATCAGCGCTACTATTGGATGAAATCTTTATTGTTTGTACAGGTATGAATCTTTAGCTAACATATAATAAATAGGACTAAAAACATTTTTATAAATATAATGAGCAATAAATAATGGTAGCTTAAAAGCAAGAGAACATTAGAGAATTGTCATGGTAAAACAAACTGATTTACACACAAGAAATCGTGAATTAATAAACTACAACACACTAATACGGTAAGTCCTTCTTCTTGAATAGTAAAGTGTAATTCAACTCTTGTCCGCTAGAAAACAGAACTAATTTCCATACGATCGAGATACTCAGTCTTGCCTCACTCTTCCCTCATTCTTACTAAATATATCTTAGTGCTAATATTGACTTACTTTCTGCTTCACGATTGAGAGCAGTTCTACTTTCATCGATATCCCCAGTCTTGTTGCTTCTTGGTCTTGCAGCAAAGTCTCCCTTTGCGAGACTGGACGACCTTCCATTTAGAATTTCTCGTTTCTTTTCAAGTACTTCCGTTGGATCGACTCTTGGAAAGCTTGAGGATACCGTTGCGAGTTTAGAAATCTGATTTAAGGAACTTTCTGGAACTTCTGATGGCGTGTTTCGATTGGGGGAGGAAGTTGATGGAGGAACATATGAATAATCCACTAAAGCTCTTCGCTGGGAATTAGAAACTTGAACAATAGTCAACCCAAAATAGAACTGCAATGCAAAAATTATTATTATTAAGAATAATGATCAGACTGATTTAACCAATATCTATAAATTTACCTTTTAACTGGTCGTATCTTGATATTTTAACTAAACTCGCAGCAAACCTTACCTTTAAGCATTACATATAGTACGATGTGTAATTAGAATATCAATGACATAATTTTGTTTAAGATTACATTAATTTTGTTTAAAATCTAGTTATAAGAGGAAACATGAAGAATAAAAAACATGGAGATCTTTTAAAATTCTATTATGGAAGAAAATTTTTATTAAAGGAAAGTTTATAAACTTTTATGTAATTTGAATTAAAATTGCAAAAGATACGAATTCGAAAAGATTTTAAGAGAATTCTTACATAAATAACCATTTGCTTTAGTTTCTTTTAATTTATAAATTTTAAATTTAGTTCAAATTTAGTTAAAACATGTCTACTTTTATTATCATCTATTATTTTTTAAATCAATGAAGTTTTTTATCTTCTCGATTCAGTTTCTTGGGATTATTCATTTAACAAAACAGTATATTAAATGATTTCACGCGATATTAAAATAAGTTTTATGCAAGTTTAAGGCATAGGCTCTAAGAATGAAAAAATAATAATTATTCACTACTTTCTAAAAAAATCAATGCAGTAAAAAAATTTTACTGATAGCCTTAGTAAAATATTTTAAGGACTTAAAAAAATTTCGTTTACAATAGAAATTTCAAAAGTCGAATGTGAAAATGGAATGTCCCATTTTTTATTTATCGATTCCAAAGTTTATTCCACACATATTTTAAATTCTTAATTCATTTAAAATTCTTATCAGCTAACTAGCTATAGTTCTGAGACTAAAAAAAAACTTAACAATTGTTTAAAACGAGTGCTAATTTAAAGAAAACCTTCAAGTACTAATAAAAATTAAACGAAGTAGTTTATATTATTGGAAAAAAAATCTACATGGTAGCATTAACAAAGAGTAAAATATAATGAAATAATTAATTGAATAGCTCTGGGAATCACACGTGGACAGGGAATTAAAAAATTAATTTCTCAATTAAGATGTTAGGATGACATTTAAAATACAGCGATATTTTAACATGCTTAAAAATTTTGACTTCGTATTCCACAGCGGTGTTCAACAGATGTTCGGTATCTTTATATTCCTTGTAGTGACTTATAAAACATCAACACTATTTTAGATAATCTATGTTAAAGTCACAAGAAACAATAAAAAATAAAAAAACAATAATTTATCTTCAATTTTCGAAAAAAATGGTATGCTCAGTAAATAGTCAGCTGTTTCGCATCGAATAATTTTAAACAGCAGAATTGTTTAAATTTCTTAACAAGATTTTATACTCAGCTAGGAAGCTTTTCTTTTTAAAAAAAACTTGACAATAATTTAAAGGGGAATTTTATTTAAAAGAAAAACCAAAATTAAAGTATTAAAAAATTGATTAGTGTATTAATGAAAAAATAATATACGTGTTAGCATAAAGAATAAGATTTTTAAAAATGTTAAAATTTATATAAATTGGTTTTAAAATAGTTCTGCGAAACACGCGTGGACAGGTAATTAAAAATTATTATTTTAAGATTAAGACGGTATCCAAGGTAATACGACGATAGATAACAAACTAAAAAATAAAATACAATCACATTAAATATAATCACAATCTGATGTATAATCACATTCCATCTGAAACAGGCTTTTATAAAACTCGACATTCGTTCAATAAACGACTTTTTTTTCAAATTTCTTTACTAAATTACGATTAAATTTTTAGACGACTAAAAAAGAAACATTGCATTTTATAATTTACGAAAAAAAAAGATTAGCAATCGGTTATTAGCAACAAAAAAAAAAAAAAATGAATGAAATTGTCTTTGGGTGAATGGATTTTAATTAAGAGTTGGTGCAATTCTTTTTTAATTGCTTAATTAGCTTCAAAAATGAGACTAAAAACGCAAAAGGTGAAATAAACATTAACGGGTTCGAACTTTTGATCCCTCTCCTCGATCAGACTAATGGGACCATATTTGCCAGATTGCATCGACCCCCTATATCTTGAAGGTTGCGAATTCAAATATATATATATATATATATATTGTTTATTCAGAGAAAGTGTGTTTTTATGTACGATTTCGCAATTAGTTAACACTAAATAAATAGCATATTTTAGATCACCCCTAAGCACCATTAAGATAGTACGTGAACACTTAGTACATGAAAATCAGATCATTAGAACAAAAGCTATTCAAAGTGATATTTTTTTTCTGCCCACTGTACATAGAACGCATAAAATAAGTTAAAAATACAAAGAAAACAAGCAAAAATATCACGAAAAAGATCAAAAAATATTTTTTAAATTATTAATAATCTATATAAAGTATTCTATATATTATGTTTTAATAACACTTATGAAGACTCAATAATAATAATTTTTATCAATGTTATTGTTATTAATTTAAAAGTAAGTATAAGTAGTGCTGTTTTGCTTTTTAAAAGCATAATTAATGTTTAGTTCCTGCAAATGTTTCTACTGCATGTTATTTTTTTAAATTTTTCTTCTTAATAGTTATTTTATTTGACAGCTTTACAGTGATAACTCAAAGCTCTGAAATCTTTGTACTGTGCTTTTAAATCATGATTCTTTAACAGTAATTGTTTTTTAAAAGCATACTAAATATTTTGTTTCTACAAGCTATTCTGTTGCATATTATTTATTTCAATTTAAATTTGTTTATTTCAATAACTTATTATTGACTGAAATTTTTAACTTTTTGAAGAGCGATTAGTTTAAAAGATTTTGATGATTGATTTAAATTTGTAAGATTTTACTCTAAGATACATTTCAAATGGGTTTAACTTACTACCGAGTGAAGCGAAATGGATTTAACTTAGCAGCGAGTGAAGGTTTTTAAAGCAAACCTTATAAGATTGCACATCAATTTTCCGGGGTTTGGGAGCTTCAGTGAACATGATGTGGAGCCCACTAGTATAATTTATTGGGCTATTGATTTTTTACACTAGATTAGTTTTGGAAAATACTTATTTTATTCACAATTATTTTTTACAGTTGGTTATTTGAGGGCTCGCTACCCCCCCCCCCTTAATTTCAGCTATAATTTTTTCTAAAATTATTAACAATAATCGAATTGTTACATCAAAATTAAAAAAAAAATATTTTATTAACATTTTGGAATTATTTCATATTATTTTACTGTATGAATACAATTTCGGTACACAAAATTTCCCGATTCTATTTTAATGTGATTTAAATCTAATGAAGTTGCCCAGCAGTCCTTGTAACTTCATCAAAAATTTTGTTATTTAAAATTCTCTTTTAATTTTTGTATACTATAAAAACAAATTAATTGTTTTGCCCAAGATATTATTCAGCAGCAGTTAATTTCTAATAATGTTTCTCAATTTTATGCTTATTTTAATTACTTTGTGTTGAGTCGACACAATTTTGCACGCATTTATTGCTTAATGTATTTATATCTGCTTGAAAAATAATCAAATTGTTACAGCGAAATTATAAAAAAAATATTTTATTAACATTTTGGAATTATTTCATATTATTTTACTGTATGAATAGGATTTCGGTACGGAAAATTGCCCGATTCTAATTTAATGAAATTTAAATCTAATAAAATTGCCCAGCAGTCCTTGTAACTTCATCAAAAATTTTTCTATTTAAAATTCTCTTTTAATTTTTGTATACTATAAAAACAAATTAATTGTTTTGACCAAGATATTATTCAACAGCAGTTAATTTCTAATAATGTTTCACAATGTTATGCTTATTTTAATTACTTTGTGTTGAGTCGACACAATTTTACACGCATTTATTGCTTAATGTATTTATATATTTTTGAAAAATGATTGTAATAAATTTAGTATCGATTTAGGTATGTTTATCATTAAAAAGTTACGGAATTATATAATGCCCATGAATTGTTTTACTAAGTTACAAGGTTTTTAATTTTAAGGTCACAATTTGTATTAATAATCAAAACCAAAAACGTACTAGGAAATCTTGATAAATAAATATTACAAATTAATTAAATTGAAAATATCAAGAAACTGAAGTGTTAAGATATTACCTGATTAAAAAACTTCACTTGCTTCAAAAATATTTAAATAGTAAATAACATTTGACAAGTTTTAAGCGCTTTAAAAAGTCCTTTCGAAGTTTTGGAAGCTCTAGAAACATATAAACTGTTATTTACTATTTGTATATTTTTGAAGCGAATGAAGTTTTATAATCAGGTAATTACAGATTAATACTTTTGAATTAGGGATAAATAAATAATTTACTTATAAACAGTACAGTTATAACTTTCGGAAAATTTAGGCTAATGACAACCAAAGAAGTCTTGCCTATTTTTCATACCATATGATTCTTCTATCCAATGAAAAAATACGTACTGGAAATCATTTTCATCTAGTTTTACATATTTATGTTTTGACATAAGTTTTTGACTTTGAGTTGATGCTAAAAACTTAGGTAAAACTAATGCTGCAATATATTTTAAGAAATTTCGGTATGATTACATGTTTAAACTTATTATTTTTCATAGCTGTTTCAAAATGTGCAATTCCTAAATTCTTCCAATGTCTTTGTTTCACTGTTGGCATTTAATGTTAATTTGTCAAACTACTTTTTAAATGCGGACCAAGTCCAACCTTATTAATAACGTATATTTTTAAAGTAAATAAATTATAAATTTTAATGCATAATTTAAAACAACAAATCTTATAATTATCACCACATAAACTGGCACAATTTGAGGACTTTTTAGGATATTTTTTCCCTACTATCCCGCACGGTACTAAACCGTTGGAATCTAGTTCAGTTGTTAGTCATAAATTAATATTTGTTAGGCGTTTACATCAAGAAAAATTTATTTTGTTAAAATGATTTCTTTAGGATTGCATTATTAGGTTGAAGTTTCCATTTTGATTTTACTTGCTTTTTTCTAGGTAAAAATAAAATAAACAATCTATTTTACGACTTGTCATTCTGATAATTGTCATTAACAGAAACAACTGTTTTTTAAAAAATAAAAAGACTATTGAGAAACTATAAATACAAATTAGCTTATGTAGAATTCAATAGGAAGATAACCGTTTAAAGTTTAACAATAATAACAAGTACAAGATATGTTCAAAATGATGATTGGAAAGTCTTATGGTCGATTGAACTGAATTATTTATCCTCTTTTTTATTACATACATTTTAATTTATTAAATTATAGCGAGAAAATCACCAGTGGTGTTCCCTGTGAGTTTCTCAAGAAAGGTTAAAAGGTGAAAAACAAGCATAAATGCTTCGTGCCTGGTGAAATTAATGGCGACGTCTTTAAAATCAAGGTCGGCATGTTTACTTTAACGAAACTAATAAATACAATGCTTTTTTGATAAATTCAACTGTGGTTTTCCGGATCGAAATTTTCTAAGAAGGATATTCATTGGCAACGAGAAGTTTCGTGACTATAGCAATTATTTATAGGAATAAATAAACTTCTATCACAATTGAATGCTTGTAATATATTTTGCCTTATGCCATTATTCTTAAAGAAAAACAAGCAGTTTAAAGCTTTTACTTTAAGAGAACTAATTTTGTTTAATATAGTTTTAAAAAATGTTATATTCTAAATTAAACTTATTCCGATATATTTCTCTAGGGAAAAAATTTTGAAAGTTTTCAAGGTTTTAAGTTTTACGCCGTGGTGATAGAACTTTTGAATTTTTGAAGAGAAAAATGTTTATTATTTCCTATAAAAGTTGGCGCAAACTTTAAGGAGTAGAATATGGTGAGTGAAACACTTTTCACCATTAAATACGACATCGCTTAAGCAAAGGGAATAATATGATTTTCTGATATTCAACCACCTGACTTACACTCTCGGAAATAAAAAATAATTTTTGACCACTCTGCAACCTATGAGATGTATTTCGTTATTTTTGATTCACTTCCTCTCGAAATCATGTGATATATCTAAATTACTTTTTAAATCGTGCACAATCTCGATGCTTTTTAGAGGTTTTTCAACTATTTTTTTAAAATCTGATTTGGGAACCATTTGCAATTTATGAAGGGATGGTGCATTGTTTAGAGCATTTCCTTGTCAATTAATTTCCCCGGTTCGATACATGGTGATAGGGCGTACTTATTCACTCACGACGCTCTTTTTATTTATGTTGCATTTTCCCATCGATTCCGATTATGCGTATGCTAGATTAAGTCTAATGCTTTTGGCAAAATTCGCATCCTCAAAGAAGAGAGGATAGATTTTTTTTCAAGTTAATTAAATGTCTGTTCTCAGTGCTTCTCATGAGATCAATAAAAAGAGAACATTTTTGTGAACAGAGAGCATACATATTATGCTGTACATTATAACATGCATTCTGTTATAAGGGCTTTTTGTTACTAATTCAAGTAAAGAAAATCGTTGCTGATAAAATGTATAAAAGGTATTAATGGAAATTCATAATACTTTTTCTAAGTTTCTTAGAAGCATTCATTTTACCAATGCATTTATAAAAATCCTTCTATACTATTATTCTAAATTTAAACTGATCGGTATAGTTCCCGAGATATACTAGTTTGCAAACAGGTGATTTTGGTATAGCAAACACCTTTTTTTAAAAAAAAAAATTCTTTTAAGATTTTTATCCATAAGGATATTTTTTTATTCGAAAATAGTTAACAATTTAACTACTTAATGCAATAAGATTCTTTCTTGATACTTGGAAATGAATTTAGAAGGAGAAAAGAACTGTTCTGAAAAGCCTAGAAGGCGATTATAATGGGGAAGGCCTATTTAAGGAAAAATTTAAAGGAAAAAACCTATAAGGTAATGATCACGATATGCGTTAAAATTGTATGAACTTATTGCAATGTATTTATCAATGCATACATTTTCTCCTATCTGTACACGAGTAACACAGAGGTAATCCATTTGTTCCAATGAAATAAAGACCAGGGCCGGGCAAAGGAAGGGGATTACTGAGACATCTATAGGCGTGAACTGCTTCTATAGGCGTCTCAAGTTTTTCTCCAAAGTTTATGGAAGTAAAACTATTTTTACAAGTTTCCAAAGTTTATAAAAATGTGTTTTATATTTTGAGTATACATTACTGGAAATTAAAAAAACGAAGTTTATGTTCAATTTAATATATCACTTAACAATGACTTGCATGGTAAACAATCAAAGTTGTCCCTCCTTATGCTCCAGTTTTATTGATTATCATGTTTTGCTTCAAGTTACAAGAGTTTGATCGTTTTCAACTATTTTACAATACCTCTGAAACAGTAAAAATTTTCTGTAGTTCTGGGTAGGTTGGTAGGTTTATTTAAGTCGCACTAGAGCTGCACAATGGGCTATTGGCGGCAGTCTGGGAAACATCCCTGAGGATGATCCGAAGACATGCCCTCGCAATTTTGATCCTCTGCAAAGGGGATGGCTCCCCTGCTTTGGTAGCCCGACGATCTGCGTGTGAAGTCGAGCACTTTACGGTAGAAAAGTTTAACGAGGACCTATACCGCACGCCCTCGGTCCTTACGCAGGCTGATTAAAGTATTAACCCACCTGCTTACTGACCACAGCCAGCGATGCTTGACTTCGGTGTTCTTCTGGGAACTGTCTCTTTACGATCAGTCAGTCCACTGCAGGACCTGGGGTTCTGGGAAAAATGTAACAGTATAGCAAATAACGTTGAAGTATATAGAAGACCACTTTTTTCAAAGTTTTTAATTTTTTTCAGCTGACATTCTTCATTTTCGATAGTTTCGATAGTAATATTTGTCTCTGTTTTAATTCGAAGGAATTTTTTAACGCATATTTTCCCAATAACTGTTTTATAAAATTGACAAGTAATTTTTTTTTTCAATTTTTTCCTTCGAGTTTACTTGTTTTTTTTTTTTGTCACAGGATGCTAAGTAGAACCTCATAAAACTTCGTCCATTTTGGCTAAAGTTCTAAAATTTGGGCATGGAATATAAAAAGCAATTTTAAAAATTTAATTTGTCTGTTCGAAAAAAATATTTCAAAAATAATTTGTGCTTATCAGTTTAGCATTTACCAATGTTATTAATAAAATTGTTGACGTTTCTGTTTATGATTTTATCGGAAGCTCTCTTATGTATAATTATAACTTACAAGAGCAGTCATCAAACGTGAATTATGCCTGTGAATCGGTGATAAGTCACTGAATTAATATTTTTAATGTTACCTGAAACCTTGTATTCATTTTGTTTAAAGTTGATATCGTAAAATTTGTTTTAAGAGCTAAATAATTAAAAATCAATGGTAAGTGAAAAAAAAAGTTATGCACTAAAAACCAAAATTTAATAGAGAAAATCATTAAGGGGAACCATAAACAAATCAGCATATATTATTGACGCCAATAATTCTTGATTAATTTTACTAATTAGTCCTACTGGTATTATGTTAATTAGTGGGGTTTTTAATGGGTACGAAATTTACTAATATAGGAACAATTGTACTGTGGTAGTAGGTTTTTCACGCTCCATTGAAAGTGACAAGTATTGGAGTAACTTCCTTGATTGCGGCAATCATTAGATGGCCTAAAGCAACAGAATCATGCTAAATCATACTAATTTCAGTTCATTTTCATGTGATGAATTTCTAAAATAGTGAAATACTTAATCTATAGACGTAAATTCATCGGCAAGGGCAATAAATAAAGAAGTGGAAACATTTTTATCTATATTAAATGTGTCAGCATATGTCTTTGAGTTTTGTGCGTGATTTTGTAGTGTTGCATAAAATTGTGGAGTCGTTAAAATATTTGAATCCAACTCCAACTCCGGACTTTCCCAAGAGGTTGACTCTGACTCAAACCTATATTAAATTAAAATTTTCACTAAATTTCAGGAAAGTATTAATTGTTACGATATCAGGATTTTTTGCAATGTACAATTACTGTTAATTTAACAGATAATTTGATTGCTATTCTAATTTTCTAATACTAATTAAAAACCTCTATTTTTTATGTCTGTTCTATTTTATCTTATAACAGTTGAACAACCGATCCAATTTTGAACTACTAATGTTCAACTTCTTAGCTTTGTAATTTTAAACCCAATCCAGAAAACAAGGGAACTACTGGATCAAGAAAAAAATAATTTTTTTAACCATTCTTCATAAGATCAACCATTCTTCTAACGAGAAGTTAATACTATGACCCTTCTACGCCATATACTATACTCTGTAATAATCCTTCTGCATCAGAGGTTTAAAACACTTACATAAGAAATATATTTTGAATTTATCGAAAATAAGGTTAGTTGACCAGAACAGAAATCACAAGTAAAATTTTGGTCATAACTCTTTTTATCGAATTTTTTAAATCAAAACAAATAGCATCGATAATAAATTTAATAATAAATTTGATTATAGTAAATTTATTTATACATAATAAATGTAAAAAAAATATTCTGATTAATTAAGCTAATAAATCTAATGAAGAAAAATCCTATAAATACTTTTACAACCTTAATGAAAGTTTGTTCAAATTTATACAAGAAAATGATTTTTGAATTATGAGAAAAATATATTAAAAGGGATTTTGAATTACATGATTACAGGAAAATTGATCTGTTTACTAAATATTGAGAATTAATGTATTGAAAATTAGCAGCATTTAAGATTAAATATCTGATGACTAACTATTTTATAATGAACAAAATTGAGGAGATTTTGACAAAGCCAATAAAGCCGAACATAGCTATTAAGTTTCATGTTCATGTTAGTGGAACGCGGAGAATGGGTTTTGAATAATAATAGTATAATAATAATTTTTTAAAAAATGTAAGTGACTGTTTCAATCATGTCTTTCTCTTTTAGCTCTGAAAATGATTTACATTAAATTTTTAGAAAATAATAACAAAAAAATTCTATAAATAAATCAATAAAATGTTACAAGACACTCACCCAGACTAGCCAAAACATGGTGATTAGTGTGATTAGAGTTACAACAAATCCAATACCAAAACAAACACCATTACAACAACGATCAACTAGCCTGTGTCTTCGAAACTCATCTGAGCCCATTGCTTTCGTATTGCTTGAACCTGAATCTTTAAAGACCTCGAGGTATTTTACTATCGCCCATTTTGGCGCTATAAGTTTGGTGGAAATCCGGTTTGTTTTTGAAACTCACTTTCAGTGTCGTCGCATCTTTGGAAACCAAGTAAAAGTGATTTCTCTGCACTTGAAATTAACTCAGATGTAACTTCTTGTGCGTCATTGTGGAAGTTTTTGTCAACCTTAAATTGCATCACAAGACCAGTTTGGGAGAGCGAGTTACCGAAATTTATTCAAAAATAATTTATGTAGAAACTGGACGAAGTGGTACTAATAGTAGAGTAAACTATGATCGAATTAATGTAATTTTGCTTTTTAAATATCACTAATGCTGATTATTCATACTTATTTTATAATATGATAAATAAGAAATATATTTTCTAGTGATTTATAGTTTTTAAAAATCTAAGTAACACAACTTGATGTGAAGAAGAGTTTCTTAAATTACGTTATAAACTATCTACATAGAATTAGACGCAATGGTAATTTTAATTTCTTTAACTAAGAAATTAATAGAAATTAACTGAGAAACTAAACATTGAATCAATCTACGTTTCTTTTGAAATTTTGACTACAAAGTGTGTGACAAATGCTTAAGTATTAAAAATAATTTTGAAAAAAAAAAACTCACAAATTTAAACGATGACATCAAGTTTAATTGCCACTACCTTAATCTTTTTTCTATTAATTTTTACTTTTTATATTTTTTTAAACAATATAACGTGGTATGAAGGAAAAGTTTTCTAAATTGATTCTATTTATGTAAAACTGCAAGCAGTGGTACTTAAAATTTAGTTCTTTGTGATTAAAGTTATACTACCTTTGCTTAGAAATTTTGACTTTGAACTTATTCGGTAAAATAACATGCAACTAAAAGTAACAATTAAATGTAAACAATTCAGTTACTATTTATTCTGAGCAATTTGTTTGGAGTAAGGAGTTTTCTAAATTAATTCACGAACTATTTCTGTAAAAACCGGTCTCAATGGATCATTTGATTTGGTAACTAATGACCAACGTTCATTACTAATACTAATAATTAATATAACCGCTAAGAACTAATTAGTAATTTCAGATACAAAGAAAATTAACAAATAAATTTATGTTTGAAATACGCAGGAATTTCAACTAAAAATAGCTCTTTTAGGAAAAGTCATTTCTAAGTAATAGCATAAAATAAAATGAATATAATGATATAAAAGATTAATGACTACAGAAGATTTATGACTACAGAAGATTTATGACTATGAATATGACTATAGATCTTGTTCATATTATATGTGTTATAATTTTTTCTCATACGTTCTATTTTCACTTGTTTTATTTTTATTTAAATCTTAATATTGATATTTAAGCTCATTTAATGAACTTTTGATATTTTAGCAAAATAGCAATACAACATAATTTCATGTAAAACATTCTTAAGAGGTTTATTTCCAAAAAAGTCTTTGTTATGTAAGAACTATTAAATTTGTTTGAAAGAATTTCTTGATATCATTGTTTCGACATACGTTTAAAAATATGCAGTGTTGTTAGAAAAAAATTTAATTTCAAAAATTTTGAAAAGAATTTGAAAGTGCATAATTCGTCTACATTTTTATAAAATTGTTATTAAAGTGATGCATATTGTTTCAAAAAAAATTTATTGTAGCGAATATCGATTAAAACCAATTAATATCTGGTTATTCGAATTTAACATTATAAAAAATTGCCTCCATCTAGGATTTTAATTTTTTTCTTAAATCCCATATAAAATACACCTTAAATGTTACATCACAATTGGAGTCAAATGCATTTATAATATTCGTTTAAGTATCAATACTTTTCATTGATTTTCTGAGAATTACACTTGTTGTTGAGCTCTAATTTTCTTGGTATTGATGACAAGTTTTTTAATGAAGCTAAGCAGTTTAAATTTCTATAAAAGCATCATTTAAAATCACAAAGGTAAAAATTTTATTAAAAACCAAAACGCATTTCAGTCTTCATTAGTAGGATAAAATACAGAAATGGGAAAAAACAGAGAGAGTTAAAATTCGACGGAAGTCACGTCATTCCAATGTTATAAATGCGCCGTTAAAAGAGCCAAAAAATTGAACAAAATGAATGATTTCCAAATGTTAGATGAACTTGGTACAGCAGTAAGGTCATTAACAACAGTGCTTTTGTTTTTGATTATGTAATAACTCTCCCAAAAATCCAGGTAAGCACAGATTGTTTTTATTGAAATTTTATTTCATCACAAATAATTACTCTCGTAATTTTATAACAAACAGTTTTTTTAACATTTCAAACCTTGATTTTTCGCATACATAAACTACTTTAACACTTTGACGTCTCAAACATTAAATGCTGTTTTAGATTTAGAGCCAGCTCAACCCATGCAAAGTAAGTCCTATGAGCGTTTATTTAAAGAAGAATGATTACTGGGTTTGTGCATACATGAATTAATTCATTGTTTATAACAATTCATTCTAACCCATGATCCGTCCACCTCTGAGGATATTTTACGTCAGCACTGTGGTCGGTGCAAGCCGGCTGCGGAATTCGTTTCGACCAGTCATCACTGAGATTCGAACCTGGTTCACCTCATTGGAAGGTGAATGCTCTATCCCCTGAGCCATCACGGCTCAAACATATGTATTTTTTGTTTTATTTTATAATCGTCTTTGTACATCCGATCCAATTTTGGGTTTACAACTACTAATATTCAACTCCGTAACTTTGCAATTTTGAACCAATCCAGAAGACAAAGAAACTCCTGGATCAGTACCCCCAGAGGTATTGCTTTGTTATGGGAACATGGTTGACTTTGCGACTCGACAGATTTACCTTGCATCTGTCACCATTTTCTACACGGGGAATCTTCGGCTGGTATGGGATCGAACACACGAACATTTAGACATGGGCCCAGTGCCTACCTACCAAGCTATAACGGCCCAAACATATGTATTTATCGAAATGTACATGTAAAGGAAATACTGCTTAAATTTTATTATAAATTTTCTGCAATATCTCTGAGAAGAGAATTGTTATTATCACCAAGTAAATGAAATAAGTTAAAAAATAGATTTCGAGAGCATAATTACCTTCCTAAATGACTTCAATTAAGAAGTTTTTTCCTGTTAGAAAGAATAACGGTGTTAGTTCGGAAAACGGATACATCACTTCCTATACATTAACTTGGTAGTCGTTTATATAAGTATAAAAATGCTTCAAATTATATATTCTAGAGGCCAAATTCCCCGCTTAACGCGATGGAATATACTCTGTATAGCACTATGGGTGACTTTGTCTTATAATATTCTAAAATGGACAATAGGTTTAAGTCATGTGATTTTATTTTTAGCTTTGTCTAGTGTATGTTATGCATGTTTTGTAAAATTTAATGGAAACGTGTCAATTAGGAAGCTACGTGATAAAAGCATTGCGAAATCGCAAGCAAAAGCTGTTTTAATTACAGGTAAGTATTTTATGAGATCATTTTTATCATATGCCTTTCCTACGTAGCTCATAAATTATTAATCCTTGTATAACACTGATAAACAAGTTATAGACATCTAGCATGATGTTTACTTTTTTTAATGTAGTTTTTTATGATAACTTCAAATATTAAAACCACGTCTAGTTTTTAAGATATTATTGTTCAAAAATTAATTCTCATGTCATCAAAAATTAACTCTCAAAATATTGATAAAAATAATGAAATGCTTTATTTTAGTGAAATTTTTTAAAAAAAAATTACCTGTTAATAAAGCATTGTCACAACAAAATTAGTGCAAGTGTAGCAGTTAAGAAAAATTATGGAGCTGCTTTAGAGTAGTAAAAAAATTGTTAACCAGTATGAAGTGCTTACATTTCTTCCGTGATCTTTTAATTGATTCTTTATTTTTTTAGCTAATTTTTCTTTTTAAAAAACTATTTAATCTCATTAGAATAAATATTTAATTACTTTAAATTCATGATCTTGTTCATTGTAATGACATATTCATTAGTACTCAATGAAACAGCTTGTAGTGTATCTACCACTACAAAATTACAATTACAATTCTCTAGTATATAAGACATGCAAACTCGATTCTTTAGGGAGGTAGGAGGGAGAGGAGTCAATTGCAACAGGGTACGATTGTAACAGAGCAAAAATTTCGAGTGTCGGGTTCTAGATATGGTTCGCAAGTGGCGCCCAAGGTGTATTTAATAAATTTGCATGTACACCCTTGCTGGCAACCATTTTTATATACTTTTGAAAGAGTTACATCACAAAAGATATTTTCACGCTACGCGAGTACTTTTTTTGGTATTAGAATATTATATTGTAACAAAGTAATTTTGTTTAAACAAATAAAAATTATTAACCGAGTACGTAAGTGGACACCTTAATTAACATTTAAAAAAGAAGATTAGTTTTGTTAATTAACTAGCATTGTTTTTAACAAATGAAGCTGAAATGGCGTCTTGGGGACGATTGTAACAATAAGTAAAGGGACGATTGTAACAGCTGAAAATAAATAATCTTATGTTTACAAACCATTACTTAACTCTTTAAGAACCACCAATAGTTTCCTATATCATTTACATTATGTTGCATGTGCATTATTTTATTTGTCACCTTTCACAGCATAAATTAAAATTTTTAACCCCTTAAAGTTAAAAGTTTAACCCTTTAGGTCTCTGCTCATTATTATTTTTACTCCTAAAATATCCCTGCTATTTTGATCAATAAAAAAATATATCACAACTATGATAATATGTATAATTAACTATGTTTTAGTTGAATTTGTGAACTGTTACAATTGACCCCGTAAGTGGGGACAATTGTAACAAGTGCACGACTGTCAAAAATTGTTAACAACTAATGTAATAAGATTTAAAATAAGGTATTTATTTATTTTTCTAGTAAAGGATAGTCTACTTTACTCGTCTGTCAATTAATACTAATAATATATTGGATTTTTTGTTAGTTAAAAATGGTAAGTAAAAAATGTTACAATTGACCCCACTCTCCCCTACCTTTTCATAGATGAAGGTTGACATTGTCCTTAACAACACTTCCCACACATCTCTAGTGAAGTATAAATGATTGAAGAAGTATATCTAAAATACGGTGGGTGACAGAGACTAATGGTTTGATTATTTTGAATCAACGCATTTTAATTGTCTAAGAAAATGTATTGAATACTAAGACATTCGCAACTTTAAGCGTAATTATAAGCTTTTTCATTAAATATATTTTATAAGAAAAGTATTCAAAGAACCATGAAATAAAATTAATTTTTTGGGGGAGGACATACGTAGTTGATTTGCGGTTTTTATATACATTTCTAATAGCATTCTTTTTCAGTAAGAAGTAAAGTTATCGGGTAAAGTTTCCTAAGAGAATAGAGTTTTGATGTTTTCTGTTGAAAATGGGCAAAAATAAACCTAAGAACAGTTGAATAAAATTATTAGTTATTGCTTGTAAGTTTTATACAAGTAAAATGCTTCCTAATATGGAAGTTTAACGTCTTGAAACCCACTAATCTTTCTAACTTCATGAATAAACGATATTAACAACCAAACTTGCTTTGCTCTAATTTTTTTCTGCATAAATTATATTTATTCACCCGTTTTTTTGCCGTTTAATTTTAATTTTAGGTGACTTTACTCTGGGCATAGTGTGAATAACACATGTACTAGGCACTCTTAAAATTGTTTGTCTTTCTTTAGAAAAATTCTGTTTGTAATTATTAGCAGAACTAATTCAAAACCCGATAATGGAAAATTATGTACGTAATATTGAACAAAGAATGAAAGAATTTGAAAAATAGGGCGCAAAAAATACTTGTACCGAGTAGAAGGTATTTCTTGAAAGAAAGTACTAGCCTTATCATTTCATCAGAAATGGAGTTTTGAAATATCTCCAAATGTCAAAGCGCTTGTTTCCGTCATAGATTTTACATTTAATTTTAAGAAACTGAAAGTTTTTTTTATTAAAAATTCATATTACAAAAAGAATTTTATAAACAAATTACATTAGTTCATCGAATTCTCCAAATTATTGTTCTAAGAAATTAACCAATTTAAGCATTGAAAGTCTCAATATCTTAAAATAATAAAAGAACAGAAAATCGATGAAAATTTTGTAATCGATTGAAGTTTATTTATGCAACGAATTTTATTCATGTTTTATATCTACAGTCAATCATACCGCGTCTGGGTATTAACAGCTTTATTAGGCTATATAAGCTTACTAACATTTTCCTTCACTAAACTTAGCATTCAATTCTTTTAGCATTCAATTATCATGACGTATTTAATGATTTTTATATTTTAGTTTTGGTAGTGAGGGGTGTGATTTTTGCAGAGAATTCATTCATTTTCATTAACATAAACTGTGCTTCATATTTGTTCTCTTTTATTTTATTTTATAACAGGGTGTGATACAGGTTTTGGTTTTCTGACAGCCAAACGTTTGAGTGAAAGAGGATATCAAGTTTTTGCCTGTTGTCTTTTTCCTTCCAAAAATGGTGGAAAAGAGCTCAGTGCCATTCCTAATGTACATTCTCTAGGTGTGGATGTTTCTAAAAAAGAAGACGTAATTCAAGCTTTGGATTTTGTTAAGCAACATTTAGGAAAAAATGGTAAAAATTTAACTACTTTTTATGTTATTTGTGAATATCATCTCCTGCAGTGTAAACTTCATTGTTCGCAAAACATTTTTTTCATATTCTTTATAAAGTATCAGGTTATCTTTATTATCTTTGAAACACCAAAAAAAGTTTAATATTACAATCAATTAGGACACATTTCATCTAGAGCAGTGTTCCCCAACCCCCGGTCCATGGATCAAATGGTACCGGGCCGTCCATTTCATTGAAACTGAATTTAAATTCCTAGGTTTATAACCCAAATTAAAAATATTTGTGTTCCATTAAAATTTTATTTATTTAAAAAAAAGGGGCCACGGAAGGTAGTGACGTAAATTTTTTAATGTTTTAAAAAGTAAAAGAAAAAGAAAAATGAAACCACCTCAACTATTTTCTCTTTCAATTAGTTTTAATTAAAAAAAATCAATCATTATAACTGTAAATATAAATAAAACTAGAAAGCGAGGCGCGAAATTTACATTGGAACTAATGAAGATCTTCGTCTTCTCTTTCGATCGTGGCTCATTGATTTAACGCTCTATAAGTAAAAATGCTAAATCACTTTATATTTATTTTTGGTGCAACTGTATTTGATTTTGAAGGCATGTTTAAATGCAATTAAATTAAAATTAATAAATCAAAATAATCTAAAATGTAATCAATCAACGTCGTCGTCCCCCCAGCGGGCCGTGGTAAAATTATCAAACTTTGACAGGTCCGCGGGGATAAAAAGGTTGGGAACACTGATCTAGAGTACCTGCAAATACTGTAAAAAATTCCGGGTCAAATTACTAGCACTTTGGGTGCATCACCTGTAAAATCCATCTAAATGTAAAATCCATTTTTACCGTAAAATATTATACAGCAAATTTCGCAGTAATATTTATTTAGAGTAATTAGGTTATTATTATTGTACCCACACTGAGTGCTGGTACTTTTTACCGTAATTTAGTCCGGAAATTTTTGCAGTGGAAAGTCTGGACGGCAGAAGTTTGATTTTATTTAAAGGGGCTATTGAACCAGTGAATTTCTATGAATGGTTAGGCAGCTATTTTATTCTCCAATACAGGGTCACTTTAATACTAATCAGGAAAATGTTTACTCTTATTACGAAAATGACACATAATTCTGAAATTCCAATTAAAAACTTAAAAACTAACACAGGGAACGGAAAATACATTAAAATATTTTATAAAAATAATGAACTAGAAATTTTACCAATTTTATATTTAACATGGCATTTTAAAGCTCTTTCGGAAGGAAAAAAAAATGCAGTTAAGTGCCTCATACTTTAAGCAAAGTTATAATTTTAAACTTTATTTTCCATCACACCGTAAAGAATTATCTGGGCTTTAGAAGGAACAAATAACTTAAATAGTTTAAAAGTTATTATTATTCTTAAAAAATTTAGCAATTTGGCGACATTTTTCCCCTTGGAGGAAAATTATCAAAATCATTGCTTTTTCTCAGTTTTTGCAAATTTTTGGAGTTCAGCTAATGCGACATTGGAGTTAGATTATAAATATTAAAAAGTTTTGATCACAAACGCTTTTCATTTTTACAAAACTGTGGTTCATTCTATTTTATTTTGCACGAGTTTCAGAATAAGTATTAAGAGTACTGGCTATACATAAGCTAAACTTGATGTAACAATCATGAGTAATTGATGCACACTTACAGTAGTTATGAAAATGGGATATTATTCGCGAAAAGCATTATTTCATCCTGCGAATGAACTTTCGAAAAACAACGTTAATATAGCACTAATATATCGCTGCTTCAAAACTAAAACGACACATCTGCAGGCATTACACGTTTGCAGATGTGTCGTTTTAGTTTTGAACCAACGATATGTTTTCAATAAATCAGATACAACGGTATTTAGCTGTTAAAATCTAAAAATTGATAAATATTAGCTTTGATATGATTCCCATTGTTTTTCCACCTGCCCATTTATAGCAATTTAGGCTGGATAATTTTAGACAATTAGCAGTCGGTATATAAGATGACAATGAATACGGTTATAATAAAGCATACCATCACTATTACTATGGGTAAATAAAGTTGATTTGATGCAATTTTAAATACTACCAGTAATAAATAAAACACGTGTATTGTCTTAAGGCATCAAGAATTTGTTTTTATTGAAAACAAAATTATTATTAATGCTGTACAAAAATTTTGTTTGAAAGTGAATTAACTCATCGTTAAGATGGAGATTTTTGAATTATTTAGTATTTCGTTTTTCGTTTAAAGAAAAGGAGTTTTCAAATAACTTTGCACTATGTTTATGGAATATCCTCGTATTTATAGATATAAAATATGTTCAGTTTTTTTAATAAATCTAATACATTTGATTAAGAGTAACTACTACCAATATTTACAATTTACTTCATTTTTAGTTATAAATGAATAAGGAACAAAAAGTATGTTAACCCTCTTGGTGGCGCTTACTTGAAATAGTTTTACTCTTAAATGGGCAAACATATTTAAAGGATTTCCCCCTGAAATGGGCAGGAGTCAGACAAAAGGAATGCCTCCCCCCTTTTCTTCCGTTTGCTGTTAAGGGAATTATTTACGCTCTATGTGGTCAGCTTTAGGATGGGAGGGTCAACCAAGGAAATGACAGTTTGATGGATTAATTTCGTTTTGTAGTTCACTTTTCAACTATCTTTTTTGAATCCTCCTGCAATTCAATGTTTGTTTTTAGAATGTTTTAATCTTTTTACAATTTATATTTAAAAGACATGACTGAATGGTTCTCGCCTTTCTCATTGATGAAGATTGTTAGACAAATTTTATTCCAGTTTAAGATAAAAATAAAAAATTAATTAATGAAAAATTATAATATGAATTTTGAAATAAAAAAAAATAAAGTTGAAAATAATTTGTAGTTTAAGTTTCTTTCTTTTTTATTATTAAATTTACATTGATTTAGTGCTTATCATCACTATGCATATCGTTTATAACTACTTTTAAGATCCTTTAATTTTCTATAATATTTAATTTTGCAGAGTGGCAATCTTTTTCTTTTATTTAATCTAAACCATGATCATTATCTTCTTTTTAAGTTATATATTCTCTGATTTGGAAAGTATATAATTTTAAATATAATTTTAACAACAATATTCAAAATGTAGTCACTTGTAATTTTGATTCGT